ATCTCATCACTCCCACCACACAAATCCCCAGGCCCTGATGGCCTACCCAATAAATACTACCGTGCATACTCTTGTCTTGTCACAGCCCCTTACAGAAGTGTTTAACCATTGCATGAGGGAGGGCTCCTTACCAGCGGAGATGCTACTGGCACATGTCTCCACCCTGCCCAAGCCAGGCAAATCTAAGGACCAGTGTAAACATTTCAGGCCCATTTCACTGCTAAACAGCAACGCCAAAATCTATGCAAAACTATTTAGTGAAAGATTGGCTCCGCTCCTGCACAAGCTGGTACACAATAACCAGTCGGGGTTCATGAGGGACCGACAGGGCTCCGACAACTCCAGAAAGGTATTGAATATAGTGGCGGGGATGGAAAGGGGAAAACTTGGAGGCCTTTTTTCTGACGCTGGATGCTGAAAAGGCTTTCGAAAGACTAAATTGTCAATATATGACAAGAGTACTAAATAAATATAACTTCCCCGAAGAAACCATCAGAGGCATACTAGCACTCTACGCACAACCCAGCGCTAGGGTCTCACATGTTGGGTTTCTCTCTAGAACCTTTCACATTACAAATGGGACACGTCAGGGCTGCCCGCTGTCCCCCCTGCTTTACATCCTTTCCTTAGAACCCCTAGCCTGGAAAATACGAGAGCATAAAGACATAATTGCCATCACCTTGAGGGACAAAGAGTATTGTTTAGCTTTGTTCGCAGATGATATCTTCGTGGCATTGTCAAACCCAGAACGCTCCCTGCCCCCCTTGTTAACACTATTGACAGACAGGGGCGGACTGAGAACCCTCAGGGCCCCCGGGCAAAATAAATCAAGGGCCCCCTTACAGGCCCCACCCATACTCTGCAGCAAGCGCCACCCTTGTCCCGCCTCCATGCACCGCCTCCAGCCACACCCTACACAATCTTTAGACACAAGGAACAAAAGGGCAATAAGCCCTTCGAGGCCCCAGCAGAGACTACAATTGAGGGCTAATGGGCCATGGAGGGGGGTCTTTCTAGCGGAGGCTATCTCAGTGTCCTTTAGAGAGTGTGTTAGAAAGAATCCCCTCAAGGCCCCATTAGAGACTACAATGGAGTCTAATAGGCTTGGAAGGGGGTCTTTCTAACAGAGGCCATCTCAGCGTCCATTAGATATCCCCTGCTGGAAACAGTCGCCTCCAGGCCCCAGTAGAGACTACAATTGAGGGCTAATGGGCCATGGAGGGGATTTCTAGCAGAGGCTATCTCAGTGTCCTTTAGAGAGTGTGTTAGAAAGAATCTCCTCCAGGCCCCATTAGAGACTACAATGGAGTCTAATGGGGCCTGGAGGGTGGTCTCTCCAACACTCTGGTTCCTATTCACAATATAGCAACACAACATAGCTCACTGATACCTAGGCCAAGTTGGCTCCTCTTACCTTAATTACTGTTGCTGGCTGGCAGTCTGTGGGCTTGCTTGCTGCGGCTGGCAGGCTGTGGGCTTGCTGGCTACTGCCGGCAGGCTGTGGGCTTGCTGACTGCGGCTGGCAGGCTGTGGCTTGCTGACTGCGGCTGGCAGGCTGTGGCTTGCTGGCTGCGACTGGCAGGCTGTGGGCTTGCTGGCTGTAAGCCTGTGGCTTGCTGTAGGCCTGTGGGCTGGCTACTGGCCTGTGGGTTGGCTGGCTAACTGGCTGGCTACTGGCCAGCCTGTGGGTTGGCTGGCTGGCTACTGGGGCACTTGTAGATTATTTAAATAAATAATCCATGCGCAATAACCACTACTGCTCCAGAGTGAGTAGTCAAACCATTTAAGAACAGTTTGACAACTTACCTGGGATCTGCTGGGATATGGGGCTGTAGTAGGGAATAGGAGCAGTGGTGCAATGTGTGTGAAAGGTTCAGTGTGTGTGGGGGGTGTAGTGTGTGAATGTGTAGGGTGTGTGGGCTGTGTACGTGTGTGGCAATGTTAGTATGGGGGGCTGTGTATGGGGGTCTATGTGTATATGGGTGGGCAGTGTATGTGTGTGTGTGAGGCAATGTGTGTAAATGTGTATGGTGTGTATGGGGGCAGTGTGTGAATGTGTATGGTGTGTGTGTGGGGGCAGTGTGTTTATGGGGCTAGAGTTCACTCTCACCACTGCGACCACCAGGAATCCCTGGGGGTCACAGTGTTGAGAGTGAACACTAGACCGTAGCTCCAGGGCTAGAGTTGACTCTCGCAAGAGCGGTAACGTTGCCATGGTAATCGCGGCAACGCTCTGTGCTCGTGCAAGAAGGACCCAGAGGAGCTGCAGGGTGAGCTCCCAGGTCCTCTCTTCCTTCCTCCCCTGCCCGCACGGTGCCTGCGGACAGGGGAGGGGGGGCAATTGCCCTGTTGCCCCCCTGGATCCACCAGTGATATATACAGCCCTTCTGTGTGCCTTTTTGTCTCCCCCCGTCCCTCTGTATGTTTCTTTCTCCCCCCTCCTTCCCAGTCTCTCTTACCCCTCTGCCTCTTTCTCCCTCTCTTCCACTGTTTTTCTCCCCCCTTTCCCTGTCTCTCTCTCTCTCCCCCACATCTCTCTTCCTCTCTGTCTCTTTCTCCCCCTCCCCATCTCTTTCTCCCCCTGTGTCTCTTTCTCCCCCTCCCTATCTCTCTATTCCCCGTTTCTCCCCGTGTCTCATTCTTCCCTCTCTGTCTGTCTCCCCCCTCCCCATATCTCTGTTCCCCCCTCTTTCCATATCTCTGTTCCCCCCTCTTTCTCCCCCCTCCCCATATCTCTGTTCCCCCCTCTTTCTCCCCTCTCCCCATATCTCTGTTCCCCCCTCTTTCTCCCCTCTCCCCATATCTCTGTTCCCCTCTTTCTCCCTCTCTCCCCTCAGCATTCCTTGTTCCCCTCTTCTCCCTCCTATATCTCGTCCCCCTTTCTCCTATATATATCTCTTGTTCCTCCCTCTCCTATATCTTGTTCCCTCCTCTCCCTGCTATCTTAGTTCCTCCCTCTCCCTCTATATATTCTTTTCTCCCCCTCTCCCCACTTTTTTCCTCCCTCTCTTCCCCATATATCTTTTTCCCCCTTTCCCCCTATATCTCTGTTCCCTCTCCTATATCTCTTGTTCCCTCTCTTTCTCCCTCTCCCATTCCTGCCCCCTCTTTCTCCCTCCCTATTCTTGTTCCCTCTCCCTATATCTCTGTTCCCCTTTCTCCCTATATATCTTGTTCCCTCCCTCTCTCCCCTTTATATATCTCCCTCCTCTCTCCTATATATATCTTTTCCTCCCTATATATCTCTTTTTCCTCTCTCTGCGGCTCTCTTTCCTCTCTCCTATATCTCTTTTCCTCTCCCTAATGTTTTCCCTCTCCCATGTCTTTTTCTCCCCCTCTCTCTCCTATATCTCTTTTCTCCTCTCTCCCTCCCATTTCCTGTTCCCCTTTTCTCCCATGTCTCGGTTCCCCCTCTTCTCCCTCCCTTCTTATCTCTGCCCCCTCCCTCCCTCATACCCCCTCACTCTCTCCCTTATCTCTTTTCCCCCTTTCCCTCCCATATCTCTTTCCTCCTCCCTCTCCTCTATTTATATCTCTTTTTCCCCCTCCCCATTCCCTCTATCCCTTTGCCGAGGGGCCGCCTTCATGGAGTGTCGGCTGTCTCACTAACACAGAAGGGAGGAGTGAGGCCTGTCATGCTCCTTTGCGGTTCCCACATCCTGTGCTGGGAATTGTGGGAACCGCAGGGAGCATGACAGACACATGCTGCTCCTCCTCCTCCTTCTTCTGTGTTAGTCAGAGGAATGCCGCCGGACCGGCGAGGCTGCCACCCGGTCCGGCGGCTCCAGCATCAAACGGCCGGCCCCCTCACAGTGTGCCACCGGGCCGGCCACCCGGTGGCACCTGCAGTCCCCAAATGCCGCCCCCAATCCAGCCCTGCCGCCGGGCCCCCTGAAGGCGGCCCTGGCGGCGGGCCCCCCTCCCGGCCGGGCCCTCGGACCGTGTCCGAAGTGCCCGACCGGTCAGTCCTCCCCTGTTGACAGATTATGGTAAAGTCTCATACTATCACCTAAATCAAGAAAAAACACAGGCCCTACCCATAAACCTATCGAGGCTAACTGTGAGGGCCCTAAAGACCACATTCAAGCTCAACTGGTGGACAATGTCACTAACATATCTAGGAGTAAAAATCGCCACTTCCATGCACAACATAGTGAAACTTAACTATAAACCTCTTATACACATATGCAAAACTGAGACACTTAAATGGAAGACCGCAAACCTTTCATGGTTAGGACGAGAAAATGCGTACAAGATGATGCTACTACCGAGACTATTATACAAGCTCAGAATGCTTACTATAGCTGTCCCTGCAGCAATCCACAGGTCATTGCAAACAATATGCAGCACATATATCTGGGGAGGTAAGAGACCTAGGCTACCTCTACACCTCTTGCAAAAGGCATCACACACAAGTGGCATCGGTTTACCTAACATAGGTCTCCACTACAAAGCCTCTTTATTAGCCACATGTATACACCTACATGCCCCAAGGGGCACAACACAGTGGGTAGATATGGAACAAGACCAACTTAATCACCCCAAACTGCTCAATCTCATATGGACACCGAAGGTATTAAGGGGGCCTAACGTACAGCTATATCCCACTACAACAGCGACGATCAAAGTGTGGGACGAATTTATGTCATCCCTAGGTTGGAAGAAGCACTTCCACCCTGAGGCCCCCCTAAAAGCACTTCACATAGTAAACCCCACGATCCCTCTCCCAGTGGACACGTCTGGGTATATCCCAGATTCAACAGATATGCAAAGAACAAACAGACATGAAAAACAGATGGGGGGTACCAGAGAGAGACATCTTCCCATATTTGCAACTAAAAAACACGATCGACTCACATGTAAAAACCGCTCCAACCCCATTGTCAACACATACACTAGCTGTGAGGCTAATACCCCACAGATGCGGGATAGCCCCACTGAAACCCAAGACCCTTTCCCTTTGCCATAAATCCTGGTTAGAATTAGCACCCCACAAACCAATGACTTGCAGACAACACTGGGAGGCAGAGGGGGAGACTGAACTGACTGATGAGGACTGGTTATCAGCTCTAAATGGACTCAAAAGATGGACCAAATGCTACTCCCATGTAGAGGCACACCGGAAACTGCTCTATAGGTGGTATATGACTCCCAATAGGCTGCATAAGATGTACCCTGTGGTGCCGGCCGAATGCAGGAGGTGCGCTGCGGAAACAGGTACGCTACCACACGTCTGGTGGCATTGCAGTGGTATACAACCTTTGTGGAGAGATGTTAAAGATATACTAGATGCCCTCGGAATCAGAGACTTCCCCATGAACATCGAGTCCTGTCTCCTCCTATTGTTCCCCAAAGAGACACACGAGAACCAGAAACAACTGCTACTGCTAATTTTAATGGCCGCACGCAATCTGATAGCGTTATACTGGAAAAAGCATAGTTGCCCGTCTGCACAACAACTGAAAGACAAAATACAGCAGTTTTACAAATATGAGAAAATGTCCACAGATACCATAAAAGCCACCGCAAAATTCAGGGAGACATGGGAGGGATGGGAGATGTGGTACAAAGAGGGGGATTTTCTTGAATAGCAAAACAGCAGAAAAGAGAGGGGAGAGAATCGTAAAAACCTAGAACCATTTGAGGGGTGGTTTGCAACTTCATCTGCGGAAGGGAGTAAAGGGAACTGTCTATTACTACATTTTTGGTCTTGCCTACACACCTGTTTTTGTATATACCTTTGTTATGTTCGATAATTTCTACACAAATATGGTTCAAACATAGTAAATATCCCCGAATGTTACATTGTAAATGCAGCTCAACTGTCAATGGAATACATTAGGAATTCATTGTAACACGGAATATATGTTTACTGAGTGGTGACTATGTACTGGATTAATATTTTTGAAAACTTCAATAAAGTACAATTGATTAAAAAAAAAGGCTTTTTCAAGTGGAGATAATGAAAAAACTGACCTGGCTAGTTTAGGTTTATATAGGCAGTGATGGTAATTAACTAAAATAAAGATTTGGCGCCAAAATTACATCATATAAGGGTTAAAAAAACAGAAATAATTTAAGTGTTGTTGAAATTGCTAAAAATAAAAAAGAACTATAAGTTTAGGTATATGGATGATGAATCTGGATAAATATATTAAAAATGAGGCTTATATTAGAATTTATTATAAAAAAATGAAGCGGTCACGTGACCGTCGGCCATTTTGAGCCTGAAAGGGTGGTGTATTGTGGGATATGTAGTTAAGTAGGCAGCCGGTGAGGAACATAAGGGAAGTGAACTCGTGAACAATAGATATGTAGGGCACGGTGGACAAGGAGAGACAGTGGGAGGGGACAGGGGTGGAGTGAGGGTGGAGTATAAGGGTATCGGCGAAGGCTAAGGATAGAAGGTGGAGTGCTAATTGAGGTGGAGTGGATGGAGGGATAATGTGGGCGTGCACAAAGGAGATGTGGGCATGAACAAAGTAGAAACGAGTGTGAAAAGGACGGGGAGTAGGAGGGAGGATATGACAACAAGGGATATGGGAGATGAGCGGGGAGTGACATAGTAAAAATGAAAAGGAAGATGAGAGGTGGGTGTAAGGTGAGAAAGAGGCAAACAAAACAGATCTGGGGGAGGAGGAATGGATAAAGATGGATATAGAGGGCAGTGGAAAGCAGGGACAGGGTGATAATCTAGGTGTAGTGCACAAGGATAAAGGAGGAGCGAGTATGAAAAGGGTGGGGAGTAGGAGGGGGAGATGGGCAGGAAGGGGGTAATGACTTGGGAAGAACAAAAAGGAAGATAAACATGGGCATAAGAGAAAAGGCAGACAGATCAGATATGGAGGGGAGGAGGAGTAAATAAAGATGAAAATAGAGGACAATGGGAAGTAGGGACATGGTGGATAGCTGAATCAAGAGGGTGAGGAGTATGGACTGGGTAGGATGCAGACCAAAATAATTTGGTGTAAACTGATGTAAAAGTGGATATAGGAGAGCTTAAGGGGTAATGGGATATAACTACTTAAGGAGGAACACATATATTGGGATAAAATATAGGGATTAGTAAAATAGGAAATTCCAATAAATAAAGTAAAAAACCTTGTGGATAAACGAAAAAATAAATAAGAATTAATAAATATGCATAAAAATACAGATTGTAAGAAATTGTAAAAACTGTACTATGAATACATAAATATAATTATATAACGGTAACATTTGTAAATTAATGCAAGAAAGTCATAAAATTGCAAATTAATGGCGTGCTGATAATAACTTAAATGATTTAAAGAAAATTAAAAAGTTCAAAATCCACATTTAACCCTGTGGGGACAAGGTTTTTAACAGAAAAACCCAGTTCATTTCTTTTTGACCTATGTTCTTTTTTATGTCTCCACCTCTCCAATGAGTCTTGCATTTTTGGATTCCCATTTTAAATATTTGGGATTTTTTCCATGAGCAAGGAAATGTTTGGAAACGGAGTGATTGAGAAATCCTTTCGAAATGTTGTGGCAGTGTTCAGCCAATCTTGTTTTGATACATCTTGTTGTCATCCCAACATACTGGAGTCCACAGGGACATTCCAAAAGATATATAACATTTTTGGTGTTACAACTGATGAGATCTTTGAAGAGATACGTTTTTTGTGTGATATTTGATGTAAAGTGCGTAGTTTAGGATTTAATGTTGTTGTAACGGCACCCCCAGGCATAAAAGGGTTACACCGCCATTTAGAAGATCTTCCAGAGATACAGGCACAGCTACTGCAGAACACCAAACTCCCGAACCGCATGCAAGGGAATGCTCCAAACTCCCGAACTGCATACAAAATAGCACTCCAAACTCCCGAACTGGAACCTCACAAATAGCTGCTAGCAGACGAATAGGAAAAGCACCCAAGCAGCTTACACTCCTAGCAATCAGTCTGTATCAGCATACAGTAAATCCCCCCAAGAAGGAGAAAGAGCTCCGTGTTGAGGGTCAAGCAGTGGTATGGTTTAATGAGGGCTAACTGCCCAGTATTTATGCAGGTCTCCCACCTGGGGGACACTCCCCTACGGGACCAAATGGGAGACCGTGACAAAGGACAGACATGAACCAATGACAGACACACAGAAGTAAAATCTCCCCACAATGCATCCTAACTTCCCTCCCTCTGTCCTGGAGATAATTGGGAAGCAATCCAATTATCTCCCAGGACAGAGGCAAAACTCCATTATCCACATGGCAGTAAAAAACAGTAAAAGACATAAAAATGTATAAAGTTACAACTGTTGCACAAAACATATACATTCCACCTATCCCCAGATAGCTTAGATCTGAGCTCACTAAGGTACTGAATAGCGCTCAGATCCTATGCACACAGTCCAATCGCTGTGGAGTTAAAGTGTTCACAAAGTCTGTTGTCCATATGAATAGGCTCCACGGGATGGCTATCTGGGGTAACGCTGTTCATACAGTTTAAACTACCGAATGAACAGACATCCGGTTAAATGACCAAATGCAGAAGCAAGGAGGCTGACGGCTCAGCGGTATTCGCACAAATAAGTGTCTGTTTTCAGTTCCATGAGTTGGGCGTCGAACACCTCTGTGCGTTCGCGTGTTTAAAATGGCCGTGACCTCATGTTCTGTATACGAATGGCGGCCACCCAGCATTCGTCAATTAAGCTGCGGTTAACCGCAGCTTCTGGGAGGTTAATTGCCGACACACTCCAGCTCCCAGGTGGTCCAGTCATTCGTGCGTTAGTTCAGTAGAAGAAAGGCACAAATAAGCCTTTTCTGCAGGGGAAAAGAAGGCTTTTAACATGGGGCCATAATCCAAAGGCAACAGGCGAGCAACCAGGCTTCTCCAATCCAATGTGGCGAGATTGGTCTCGTCACAGTTGTGATCTGTTGTTTTACAGACTATACATGTATTACATTTTAAAAAACCTTTAGACTGTGCTAAAAAGGATAAGGATTGTTTTACGGTGGTGTTTGTAAAATGTTTTGTTAAAAACGTTCTAAAATCGGGTGCACCTCTAAAAACTACATTTGGAGTCCAATCATGTTGGAATACAAAGATAATTTTGATACATTTCGTAAAGAGTGACGTATAAAAGATTTTATTTTACAAAAAAAAAAAAAAACACTGTTGAAAAAATTTAAAATATAACAAATCTTTTTAAAAAATAAAAACAAAGGTACACTGGATATCACAGTCTGGTGCGCTTATAAAAGCATAGCTAGAGGCCATTTGATAAAAATGGCAGCCACTGAAAATAAAAAAGGCTTACCACCTCTCTTTAAACTATATATAACATTAAGTGAATATAAGAGGCAAAATAAAACAATACCTTCCACATAAATAGCAAGGAAGATTGCAGAAACAGAAAAACAGATAAATATTCAGCTAATGAATAAAGCAACCAAACAGTTAGAAGCACTACAATCCAAGTGTTATCTAAAGGGTAACAAGCCAGAAACACTAATGTCCAATACGTTTAAAAAAAAAAAGAGAAACATAAAAGAGTAATATTTAAATAAAAGACAAAGAAACCTATCTAATGGCCCCAGAAAAAATAGGTAGAGTGTTTCAGAGATTTTATCAGAATCTATGTAACCTACCAGAAGAAATATATGGCAAGGAAAAAGAGATTAAGGAATTTTTCGAAAACTTACCCATGCCAAAAATCCTACCTGACCAATTAAAGCTGGTAAACCAGCCTATAGCAGAAATAGAGATCAGTAAATCCATAGATAAGCTTAAAATAAAGACTGCCCCAGGCCCAGATGGCTTCACAAATAAATTATATAAACTAATGAAAGACCAACAAAAAGGGGAACTCACCACCATTTTCAACTATATAATGAAAACAGGAAGCTGTCCTGGAGAGTTGTTGAGAGCGAATATTGTCCCCATCCCAAAAGCAGATAAAGACTTAGAACCGATTGTCAGTTATAGACTTATATATTGAAATATTATCTTCTATCCTTTCTGATAGATTAAAAATAGTCAAACCACAATTAATTAATAATGACCAAGTAGGATTCATTCCTGGGAGATCTTCAATCAACAATGTTAGAACAATAATGAACATGTTAGAAAACAGAGAAAAGAAACAGAGAATAATGAAACAACTCTAATTCTACTGCCAATAGATGCAGAGAAAGCGTTTGACGGGGTTGGATGGGGTTTCATGTTTGCCACTTTAAAACAATTTGGAATCACTGGATCAATATTACAAGCTATATCCACTCTTTACAACTCTCCATCAGCTAAAATAACAGGGTCAGGATTCACATCACAAAACTTCAGTGTTAAAAACGTGACTAGACAAAGGTGCCCTCTTTCCCCTTTACTGTACATAATGGTGTTAGAACCCCTTGCGATTCTAATAAGACAAAATAAAAAAAGCTAAGAATTTACAAACTCCTTTGGACAAAGTAATTTAAATATTTATGCAGATGACATCTTACTAACTTTATGAGAACCAAAAACTTCAGTCCCAGAGCTTCTGAAGTAGATAAATAAATACTCCAAAGTGTCCGGATATAAAATGAATATAGAGAAATCAATATGTACAGCTAAAAATGTAAACAAAAGGTTAAT